AGCAGTATCTGTTCTCTTTAATCCAAGAATTACAAATGCTTTGAACCACAATTTTAGAAATAAGTTAATGTCACTTATTCAAATAACAGGGAAATTTAATTAACACTTCTTATTCCCTTTGTATTGCAAGTCAGGGACAAAAGGAGGTAATTACAATCAACATTCAGTTTGTTTTATATACACTTTATCTCTTGACTGTTTAAGATTAATAGATTTGTTAATAGATTTGAATAAGCCCATACTTTCTGAATTTCTTAATTAAACATTTTTTTTTAATTTCATGAAGTGCATTTTTAAAATCATTACAAGTTTCACTTTAGACATTTACTTTAAAAGAGCCATTCCCTTTGGTATCAACAAGGATGAATTTTCTTAAAACATTAATAGCCTCTTTTCAGAATACATGACTCTTTGAACTTGCAAAGCATAATAATGGTTTCATTGTTAGATACTGAATCTTTTATGCCTTATAATTAAGCAGTACTCCTATTCTTTGAGAGTTTTCTTACAAGAAGGATAGAAATAAACTCTTCATTTTCAAGCAGTGATACAGAGCTGACATTGGAATTCCAGTAATGCCTGTAGTGAAATGGAGAAAAGTGGAGCTAGGTTTCCTATTAAAAGATGGATCCCATTAAATAAGCCTTGTGTGATGGCTGATACAGTTTGATGTTAGGATGGCATGATTTATTTTAAAAAATCAGCTTTGAATCAAAGATTGGTCAGTTAGGTTATCTGCTTAAGTGCTGAGTATCATTAGAAATTATATTGGTAACAAAACATTATATTTTTTTGAAGATTCATCTATTTCAGAGAGAGCTTGTGCAAGTTGGAGGGGAGGGCAGAGGGCGAGAGAGAGAAATCCCTCAAGCAGACTCCCCACTGAGGATGGAGCCCAGCATGGGGCGGGATGCCACAACCCTGAGATCATAACCTGAACCCAAACCAAGAGTCAGCCTCTTAACCGACTGAGCCACCCAGCACCCCAAAACAAAACATTATTTAAATAATTAAAACCAAGGAAAGTTTATCTGTACCTATAATATTGTAAAATTCTCGTTTCTTTAACTCTTGAAGGGTAGAATGGTATTTGTCTAAAAAATTTGTAGAAGACAAATGGGAACTCAGAGTGAGAGTAAAGCACAAGATGAAGAGGTTAGTTTAGCTGAACAGAGGATACATGTTTAGCTGAAGGCAGTAAAATCCTTAACAGAAGTTGATCAGGGACTTTTTACCAAATCATGGAAAATTCAATGATTGCATATTCCCTTGAACCTTAAAGGATTAGGAGAAGATGCTTTCCCAGTAAGCACTACAGTTATCAAAGACCTTATTCTAAAAGTAGTTTCTCATCTTTTTGGAATCATGGACTTCCCTTGGGAATTTGGTGAAGTCTATGGATTTCCCCAGAAATCAAACTTATTGTGGTTTGGGACTTCTGAAACCCATTTTAGAATTCTGAAATGGTGTTTTTTAATCATGAGTAACACACAGAACTGTTTTAAATAGAAGTAAAACCCATTGTGTTGATATTATATTTTATAATCTTAAATATGTATGACATAGAACCTGGTATTAACTTCTTATGCATGTACTCTTCTATAACTATAAAGTAAAAACAGATTTATAAATTAAATCATGTTACAGACTAGCAAAATGTAATCCAACAACATTAATGTGACATGAAGTAATGTTGAAATTAAATTGTCACTTGTTGGGTGAATATGGTACAGATAGTATAGTGTGAGTTTGAGTTCAGAGTGCTGTTAATATCATATCCCATGTGAATATTCTTAAACTGCTTTTCTCTCCTTGAACTACTTTATAACCTTTGTTTGTTCAGGATGTTGTCATGTAATTTCAAGGTATAACCACTTCTGCTTCTGTTAGTGTTAGCCGGAAACAATTGAAGTAGCCTTGTTGTTTAATACCAACCCAATCAAAAACGGTGAAATCACAGGATAGTACTAAGTAGTAAGGATCTAGGTGATCCAGACTCAGCCTCTATTAATTTTATTATAGGTCTTCATGGAAACAAGGCTACAAAAATTTTAAAACAAAACAATGTGTGAGAACTCTGTGTCTAGAAGGAAATTTCTTGTATTAACAATGTTTTTAAAACTTGTCTAAGCTATAAATGTGAAATTTAGATATCATTAGTTAAATTCATGCAAAATAGTCACACTGAGTGCTTCTGCATGCTAGGCATTATCCTAGGTTTCAGTACTGTACTAAAATAAATAAAGCAAGATTCTTGATTGTAAGACTCTTAATGGTTCAGGAAGAGTTTAGCTTGGGGGAGAAAGCTAAGGGAACAAATACTTTCATTACACACTTTGCTGAAGTGTTTTGATATGAATAGGTGGGGTAGGAGCCTCACTAGTAACTCCTTACCAGATGTGTGCCTTGTAGGTAGTAGCCCTGGTGTGCACTAGAGGAACCATTTTGCTAAGCTGTTACTTTGTTATTTTGGGGGGGGGGACAACACCCTTTTTTAATTCTCTACAGGTTCCTTGCTCTCTCTATCTAACTATAATTCCTTCTCCCCTCACCTCCTATCTGTCCTTTACTATAATAGATAGACACATTTGTTTAAAAAGTTCTTATGAGACTTCCATCAGCTCCCCAATTTGAACAGAACATTTTAAGCCTGGTGTAAGCTTAAAAAAAAAAGACAGGGAGATGATGTGGATAAATGGAAAACTGTTTTTTTCAGTGCAGTGGTTGCATTGATAATGGCCACTTATTCTCTAGCCAGGTGATGATAGTGTTTAAACCTTTGGATACTTGTTGTTATGCATATTCATGTGTAAACTGTTGTTTCTCCTTATATATGAACTCCATGTCCTAGATGTAGTACAATGTCTGCTCTGTACTCCAGATCATTTTCAGGATAGTTTTCTTTACTGTTGTGTGAAAATAGCACCAGTGTCTATGAATTTTACTTAAATTTAATATCATTATTGACTTAAATTTGGACCTTTTTTTATTACCTGGCCTTGGCAAATCTGAAGTTCTTTCTCATTTTCAAAGTTGTATAGGATTTCCAACTTAATGTATTATTTAGTTTTTCATTGTAAGAACAGTGCCTGGGAAGAGTTGCAAATAATAAGATTGCTTATCCCTTTAATATTTAATTTTACTAATTCCTGGCAGTTGTGGTCTCAAGTCTAAGGGACATAAATACCAGTTCAATCTATTTTAAACATCTTTAAGTCAGTAGTTATTAATATTTATTTTTGAACAGAGTTCAGTATTTTAAATTTTTTTAAAAGATGATATTTGAAATATTTAAGATAATCATTTGTAAGCACCTTTAAAAGACCTGGTCATTAGATATTAAATAGCTTGATTTGGTTTTGCGTTCAGACTAAAATAATTTTTTCCTCTTAGGGACATAGCTTCTAAAATGGGACGAGGCTATAGATATAATCATCCTTGACTTAAATGAGGTTTTTTTGTTATTTTGCTTGACACACTCATCTACAGCTTAGTTGGAAATAATTACAATGACATTTAGACCATTTACTGTGTACCTGGTACTGTGTTAAGTATTAAATATATTATCTCTTTTAATTCTGTCTTATGAGGTAATTAATAGTAATAACCTATTTTGCAGTTTAGAAAGTGAGGCTTAGAAACATTAAGTGGCTTCGTCAGGGTCACATACCTGATCGAGTGAAACATGAAGGTGTTAGTTGTACTAAAGAGCAGTTACATGGCTGACTCAGAGGGCCTGCCAGTGTATCACCGTTCACCTGGGACTTCATGGCCACACCTAGAGTCACATTGTTTTCTGTTTCCAACAGTGACCTAATGATGGGGTATAATATTCACAAGTAACAGTAATGATGCTCAGAGAAAAAGGTAGAGGGTTTAGCTAACATGGTAATGGTAGAATTGATGTATAAAAATATTTTGCGAGATGGCAAAAGTATGCCCAAACTCAATACATGTACTTGAAGGAGCAAAGTTTTTGGCTGCAGCTCTTGATGGGGCAGGGGTACCTGAGCTTCCCAAGTACATGATGGAGGATAGGTTTTCACATAAAACAGGCCATATAATGTATCACAAGACAAACGAGTGGGCAGATTGCACGAGGGAGATTTTTGGCTGGCTTTTTAAATGAATTCATTCCTTCATTCAACAGTGAGTGCCTACTGTGTGCCAGAAACTATTCTGAGGCTGGGGATACAGCCATACACAAAATGGGCATAAATCCCTGCCTTGATGAAGCTTGGGTTGTAGGATCCAGGGGGCTACTTTTTCTGTTAAAATGTATGGCTCTTTTATACCTACTTAAAAGTCACAGGATGCTTTATGAATTCAATGGTGAATCATTCTCTAAAGTGAATGATCGGTCACGATCTTACATATCTTGTCTGTGGGTTTAGGTAACTGTTCTAGGGTTTGTCATCATGGGCACTGCAGCTGTCTTCAGCTCTCGGAGGACATAAATACTGTGGCTTCCTAGTCTGCAGCTACCAAGTGACATGGATTAGTTGAAAATGGTTCAGCTGAAGCTAAGAATGTAATTTGAAATTTGGGGGATTTGGTTTTGTTTTGGTAAGGGGAATAGTGATAAGTTAAAGGGTTCATCTCAGCAATACTTAAAAGGTCTTCTGCTTATGAATGGAGTTTGTGTAAACTTTAGCGTGAGAAATTTGCTACAAGATACTAATTTCTGCTGATCCGTTAAAAAGTTATCTAGCCTTGGCTGTCTTTGATTCTGAAGATCTAAAAGTGGAATATAAATTAATATTACTCTGAGATTATTTTAACTATAGCTTCATCTGAATAAATGTAAGTTAAAATGAACTGCAGAATGCTCTGAAGACCACTCCCAAGCCTGGGTTTAGAGGATTAGACAATTTAATAGACTTCATCATGAATTAATATTCTTTGTGAAGAGACACTGCTTAGACCAATTATCTGACATATCCCTTTCTCAGTTTTTAAAGATAATTCTGGAAATAAATGAGTTTCTTATCAATATCCAGGCAAACTCTTCCACATAGACTTCGGATATATTTTGGGTCGGGATCCAAAGCCTCTTCCTCCTCCAATGAAGCTGAATAAAGAAATGGTAGAAGGAATGGGGGGCACCCAGAGTGAGCAGTACCAAGAGTTCCGTAAACAGTGTTACACGGCTTTTCTCCACCTTCGAAGGTAAGTTGATCGTAGAGAATTTTGATAAATTCATTTCATAGAGCAAGAAAAGGAGTTGTTCAAATGTATACATTCTTTAACATCACTCTTTCCCAGAATGACACAGGCAAAAGTATTTCTTTTTTTTTTTTTTTT